CTGGAAATTTTAGGACATCCAGATAGAATATGGCACTTGGCAAACTTTCACTTAGCCAACTTTGAAACATACAGACAGAACAAGACACTCAGCAAGGCACTGATTGGACTTTTTTGGCCAGGCTTACAATGTATTTCGAGAAGAAGAAGGTTGGAGAAGAAAGAGAAAGAAGAAGGAGGGAGAGAGAGAGAATCACCACTGTAAGATCCAGCATGGTCTCAGCAGTTTTTAAATCCAGTGTAACAGAATGCTCCCCGTAGCACACACGTGTTGCCGTCCTTTTATCAGTTCTGCTCGCCCGGGGCCCTCCACAGGCAAGTCCATGCTAATTGCAGCTCCACAGTTACACGGTCGAGCTTTACACGGAGCCAGAATGTTCCTGGCACCATTCTGCACCTTGCAGCAGCCCTAGGTGATTGACTGGCCCCATTATCATGCACCACGGGCTGACTTTTCTAATGTTCGTGCACTACACAGCACAGTGCATGAAGGCTCGAGGTGGGGGGAGCAGTGCAGTGCCCTACCTACGCAGTGCTCGCCCTGCTCCCCCACCACTTTCCCACCCGGTTCTTTTGAGCCAGTCAACTCTTCTCTGGCCTACAGCAGCTCGGTACTGCCAATTTTACCTAAATAACTTTGTATCCTAACTGTATTTGAGTGTTTTCTTGAATGGAGTTTAGAAAAAGACAAAGGCTTGTCTATAGGCAGGTAGGACCCAACTCAGAAGTGTCTTGGGGTAGTGACCCTTCCTCTCCAAAATGTTTTTTTTTTTCTTTCTTGTGCAAGGGAAGCACTATGAGACTGTGACCTTACGCTGAGGAGGTCTGTAACCTCCCTCTCTGCAAACCTCTGTGAGCTTTCCTTCTTGGGACTGTTTCTGGCTGAAAGGCAATAGCAGTATTTATCCCACCAACAACACTAATGATCAAAGTTCCCCTGCAGATAGAAGCTGTTGGAAGAGACAAGATGTAGCTAGCAGCTAAGGAGTTACAGGAAAGAATATGCAACAGGCAATGTCCTGAGAGCAAGCATCTCCCAATGCTTGTTCATCCCAGGGAGGCCCAGAATGGAGCGACCCCAGCCTGCACAGTTATTATGGTCAGATAATTCGAAAGCATGGGACTGAACGTGAAGAAAGAAGGCAGATAAAATCACTCAAGGACTAACACACAAGAAGGGATACTTGACTGCTATGCAAGTTATGAAAGAAACTAAACAGTCCTCTTTTTTTTTTTTTTTTTCCTACAGTAAAGAAAAATATCAGGGCTGACTGTGCTGTCTTTACTAGCTTGGTACTCTGTGGATGATCCCAGTAGAACTTGAAGGGTTTAGTGCAAATTTCAGAAGGAAACATATTTCTGGAATGAGGGGAAGAAGGCTTATAAGGGATAAAAGGGCAGAAATTCATAGGATTGGTTAGTTCTGATGCTCTGACAATAATTCATAAATTCTCTGATTAAAAGTGTAGCGTAATTCCAGAGAATTTGTTCAAAAAGCGG